TCTTCTTTGGGTGCCACAGCTGCTTCTCCCCTAAGTTTGCCTCAACAGTTTTGAATACCAGCTTACCTGAGATAAAATGAGACTCAGGGTCCCTTTTGGAAGATTAGCATGGAGGGCGATGGACAGTGCCTACCTTGCTCACTCACTTGACACTGTTGGGCTCCAGGGGCCATCATTTCCCTCATTGGGCTCCTTCAGCCTCAAGGCAGCAGGCTCCAGCCCTGATGGTGCCGTCTAACTTGTCTTCAAAGGCCATCTGCCTGCTACAAGCCTCCTTGGAACCCCTGCAGCAGGTGGAGAATTGGCCCCTTTCTACTGACCCCTCCTCTCCTGAGGATCAGGCCCAGCCCTGTGAAGGTGTGAGCCTTGGCTCATCTTTGCCCAGTGTGCCTGCTGTGTGGCCCTTGCTGACTCCACACTGATGTCACACTGCCGTTTGGATTTTGTTAGTTGCAGAGAAAGGGGAGGAGAGGATTTAGAATACCGAAGCCTTTTTCCTGTGATGGCCTCTTGGACTTCTGTTTTCAGCCAAACAGGACTTTGGGAGAGTACCTGATCTCTTGGATCTTCAGGATCCACTTCTCCTGAGCTTGCAAAGGTATCCTGTGTTCCCCAGGCTTCTTGCATCTATTTGGTTCATAAACTTCTCCTGGTTGAGTGTTCATGGCCAGTGGCCCTGGGGCATCCCTGCCTCCTCTGCCATCAGATGACAGGGCTCATTCCTGAACTCACTTACAGCACAGGAGCCTCCCAGGTCTGTTCTGCCAATGCTAGCCTCACCTGCTTCCCTTCCTCTCTAGACTCAACCCTGCTGTTCCAAGGGAAGTATGCTTTCTCCTCCTCCACATACCTCACTGCACTCCAACTCCATTGGTATCCACAGTGAGCCCCTCATTCTCTCAAGCATCTTTCTGCAATGTCCCCATGCTGCAATATCTGTAAGTGAGTCCCACTTTCCTGCCTAAACAGCTGCGGCACATTTGTTCCACTGAAGCTGCAGCAACATGGATGGACTGCTTCCTCAAAGGCTTATGCAGCTCAGCCCAAAGTCCTGGGTTGTGTTTGCCTTTTAGTTACTCAACATCCCCATTGCTTCTCTGGTCATAGAGTCCCTCTAACTTTAGTCTGTCCTGCATCAGAGCATCTTCACTGCTCCATACACCATTGCCAGCCCTTCCTATGGTCTGTTCTTACTGCAACTATCCATCATGCTGTGTCCCACAGTGTGAGGCCTGGAAGCCCCTCTGGCCTCTGGGAAGCCATTTAGATCCATAACTTCCTCCATCATTTGCATAATCCTGATTCTGGTCCTCCCTACCCTCTCAATATAATAGAAGGGTCTGCTCTTCCAGGCTGTTCAGGCTTCCTGTTTGTGTCAGCTGCTCCCTGCTAACCATCTCTTGCAGCTGGTTAGTCCTAGTTTCCGGTCCAATTGGCACGGCAGCCTCAGCCTCTGTGTCCCTTAAGGCCAGTGGCCTGACACCGCTGGGAACAGATTTGGGTTGGGTCAGTGAAGGCTAGCCCTCTTTGCCCTGAGGTTCTGTGGTGAGGGACCCCAGGGACCCTCCTGTGTAGGTAGTAGGGCTCTTTCAGTCCACATACTCAGCAGTCCTGTCATCTCTCCTGAAGGAACCAGAAGCAGGGAAGAGGACAACGTGGACATGAAAGGGGATGGGGCAGGAGGGAGGAGTGGCGGCATGGCGTGGGAGGAGGGCGGGGGCAGGAGCATTGTTTTACCCCACTGCACCTCACTCCTGTCCCCCCAGGCTGCTGGCCCAGAAGCAGCAACACTCCTTTGGTCTGCATGGGGTGGCATGCATGGGCACCGAGGCCCACCTCTCCCTCTGTTCCCTGGAGTTCTATCGTGCCAATGACACCGCCAGGTGCCCTGGGGGGGCCCCTGCCGTGGTGAGCTGCGTGCCTGGCCCTCTCTACGCAGCGTCCAGCACCCAGAAGAAGCAGCAGCAGTCACAGCTTCAGGGGGAGGTGTGTGACTCAGTGACCCTGACTTTTCCTGTCCCAGCTGGGAAACCCCTAGCCTGGCCATCTCCTGACCTTTGAGAACAGAAAGAAACCTTCCAGGGGGTGGGCCTCAGCCCTGACACCACCCACTCCCCCGCCCACATCTCCCATCTCCGAGGATGGCTCGGCCCTCTCCGTGACATTGACATTCACCTCTGTTGGGCACGGCTCTCTCCTCTATAGGCCCATGTGCGACTGAAGGGTGGCTCCCACCCTGGAGAGGGCCGAGTGGAAGTCCTGAAGGCTGGCACGTGGGGCACAGTGTGTGACCGCAAGTGGGACCTGCAGGCAGCCAGTGTGGTGTGTCGGGAGCTGGGCTTCGGGACTGCTCGAGAGGCTCTGAGTGGTGCCCGCATGGGGCAGGGTGAGGGGGTACAGGTGGGAGAAAACGGGGGGAGACTCACTCCTAGGGGGGGCATGTACCTTGGGGAGGTTTGGAATTCCCTGGGCAGATAATCAAATCTATGATTGCCTTCTGACCTTTGACCTCTGACCCTAGGAATGGGTGCCATCCACTTAAGTGAAGTTCGGTGCTCTGGACATGAGTCCTCCCTCTGGAAGTGCCCCCACAGGAACATCACAGCTGAGGACTGCTCCCACAGCCAGGATGCCGCAGTCCGATGCAACCTGCCCTACACTGGAGTGGAGACTAAGGTCAGCCACGCTTTCCACCTGCGCCCAGGGCCCTCTTCTCACTTAGTCCAGTCCTTACCCCCAGCCCACTGCCCTCCCACAGCTCCCAGCTGTCCCTACCCCTTGCCCACCCCTTAAGCCCCTCTCCCAATCCCTGCTAGACATCCACCACACCATCCTAAAAGCTTCTTGCAGCATTTCTGTACTATTATTACAGGTCCGACTCAGTGGGGGCCGCAGCCGTTATGAGGGACGAGTAGAGGTGCTAACAGGGGGACCTGGGTCCCTTCGCTGGGGCCTCATCTGTGGGGATAACTGGGGGACGCTGGAAGCCATGGTGGTCTGTCGGCAACTTGGTCTGGGCTATGCCAGCCATGGCCTACAGGTAAGTGGGAAGGAGCTGGCCGGGGCATGAGACTGGGAAGGAGTGCTCAGGCTCCGGAGCCAGAGGCCTGATGGAAACAACGCCCTCTGTCCCCAGGAGACCTGGTACTGGGACTCAGGGAATCTAACAGAGGTGGTGATGAGTGGTGTGCGCTGCACAGGGACTGAACTGTCACTGGACCAGTGTGCCCACCATGGCGCCCATGTCAGCTGTAAAAGGCCAGGGACTCGCTTCACTGCTGGAGTCATCTGCTCTGAGAGTGAGTGCAGGCGAGGGCAGTGAAGCCAGGAGGCAGCGGCTGTGGGTCGTTCCTGTGGAGGCCTGCAGAGGGGCTCTACTCTGGAGGAATGGAAGCACCGTGCTCCCTACCCTCCAGCAGTGGCTCCTAACCCTCTGTTTCCTTTGTGCGTGCAGCCGCATCCGACCTGCTGCTGCACTCCGCACTAGTGCAGGAGACAGCCTACATCGAGGACCGGCCTCTGCACATGTTGTACTGTGCTGCAGAAGAGAACTGCCTGGCCAGCTCAGCCCGCTCAGCCAACTGGCCTTACGGCCATCGGCGCCTGCTGCGGTTCTCCTCCCAAATCCACAACCTGGGGCGAGCCGACTTCAGGCCTAAAGCTGGTCGCCACTCCTGGGTGTGGCACGAGTGCCACGGGTGAGAGGAAGGAAGAGGGTCTGGTAGAAGGGCAAGGCCACAGGGGATGGGGCAGGGGAGGAAAAAGGAGCACCTTTGTCCCCACAGGCACTACCACAGCATGGACATCTTCACTCACTATGACATCCTGACCCCCAATGGCACCAAGGTGGCCGAGGGCCACAAGGCTAGTTTCTGCTTAGAAGACACTGAGTGTCAGGAGGGTGAGTTGGGGCTTGGGCAGGCTTCAGCACCTCTGCCACCCAGCCTGTCCTCACCCTGACACATGCCAATCTCCTCAGATGTCTCCAAGAGGTACGAATGTGCCAACTTTGGAGAACAAGGCATCACGGTGGGTTGCTGGGATCTCTACAGGCACGACATTGACTGTCAGTGGATTGACATCACAGATGTGAAGCCAGGAAACTACATCCTCCAGGTGCCTGGCTATCCAGGGCTTCCCAGATGGCAAGTGGGAAGAACGGTCCAGATGCCTCTCAATTCGAGGATCACAGCAGCTCAGTGAAGTGGCCTTTCTCTTGCTCCCAGGTGGTCATCAACCCCAACTTTGAAGTAGCAGAGAGTGACTTCACCAACAACGCAATGAAATGTAACTGCAAATATGACGGGCACCGCATCTGGGTGCACAACTGCCACATTGGTACTGGATGGGAAGACGGGGATGGGATGGAGGGAAGCGGTCACTCTGTGCCTTTGTTTTGTTCTGTACCTGTCTCTCCCATTCTGGTTGTCTCAGCCTCTCCACTTGTACCCATCCTTGCCCACAATGAGTCTGCCTCCCTGGCCCAGTGCAGGGCCTCCCTCACTGCCTGTCCCCTGCAGGTGATGCCTTCAGTGAGGAGGCCAATAAGAAGTTTGAACGCTACCCTGGCCAGACCAGCAACCAGATTGTCTGAAGTCCCACCTCTGTCTTCTGCAAACCACCACTGGCAGGAGTGTGAGGCTGCCATTACCTCAGGAGCTTACCACAGACCCTGCCGACATCTGCAGGCATGGCCCTCATCCAACGGTGCACTGTGGATGTGGAACTGACCAGAAGTGGTCCTTCTTATAGGCCAGCTGTCAGCAGCTATGGCCAAGCTTAAGGAAGCTTTGCTCCCAGGCCTGACACAGAGCAGAGCGCGCCACAGGGAGCAGCACCTGACTGGCCGGCATGCCAGGTGGCAGCGCTTGCTTTCCGGAACAGGGAGTCAGGATGGTCAGCTTCAGGGTCTCCCCAAAGTGCAGGGGGATACAGCTTTACCTCTGGCCATTTTGGTGGGGGGAAACATCCAACTCCCCCTCAACTATGAATATAACATGTTGCTAGGTATAATTTTATTTTCTATAAAAAAGTCTCCTTGCAATTCTTCAGAGCCCAGGGATGGGTGCTGGTGGTTGGAGGGACCTGCCCCCCATTGGTTCATGTACTCGTCTGCCCAGGTATCCTCACAGCCTAGTCTGGGAAACAAGACCTCAGACTCTTGCTGATCCATTCACTCTGTCACCTCAGGGGTCACGTATAATGTCAGTGTCTCCGGTCCCCGCCGGATCCGTACTGCCAGCTGGGACTGGGTTCGAACAGCTTCATAAACATCTTCCGCATTTTGTACCAGCTGCTCTCCAATGGCCAGGATCACATCACCAGGCCGCAGACCTGCCCTGTGGAGAGAGATGGAAAGGAAGGAGTAGTCAGCTCAGTTCAAGGACGCATGCTCTCTACCCCACTCCACTCTGCCCCATCCCTCCTGGTGCAGTCTCCCCCTCACCGGTGTGCAGGGGAGCCCAGGATGACTTTATGGATGAGCACACCATGCTGTACATCAGGGAAGCTTGGCTCTCGGAGCTGCAGCTCAGCAAGGATGCTGAAAAGACACGGAGCATTCCATGAACCAACCCAGCATGTGCCTGTCTTGTGTTCACTTCAATCTCTCATCAACACACTGGCATGTATGGACAGGACAAGTACTAGTGATCACAGACACAAGGGGGACGTGCACAGACACTGCAGATGACCCTAGTACTAAGGCACTAATGTCATTCTAGAATCCTGAGAGGCTCCAAGGAGGCAGCGGCTCTTAGGCTGAGTCTAGAAGGATGGGTCTGACATTAACTATGTAAAACAAGAACAGCATCAATAAACACATGGGAATAGGAAACCAGATTGCCTGGAACTGAGTATGCATGTAGGAATTAACAAAATCCAGGTCTGAAAAGTTGATTTAGAGACACAGAAAACAGGTCAGGCTAATTGAAGTCTTTAAATGAGAACAGGGACAGGATGAACACAATCTTGTGACAGGTGTACAAAAGATAAGAGAACCCCACGTGGAAGGCGGCTGACGGTACATAGATGGAAAACAAGCCAGGCTCCAGGGAAGTGCCAGCTGCTCAGCACGGAGTCTGCTTGTACCTGGGAGTCAGGGTCAGCATCATCACCCCAATGTAGCGGCGCTGGCTCCCACTGACTCCAAACCAGGAATCTGCGACAGAGGGACAAAGGAGCCCCACTTGGCTACGTCATTCCTTACCCCTCTCTTCTCATCAGCCCCCCATGCAAGTTTCAAGGAATGACCCCTCCCCTGGGCACCCATGCAGCATCCTTCAAAGGGAACCCCAGCCCCCTGAGCCAGGCTCACTCTTCTTTTCTCCACGAAGCAGAAACTCCCGCAGCCGATCAGAAGGGATGGCGAAGGAGATTCCGGCTGTGACCTTCATGGTGTTCACGCCGATCACCTCCCCATCCTGCAGGGACACAGCCCCTTGTCCCCTAGCCCAAACACATGGCAGGGGATGAGGGCCCAGACCTAGAGTGGTAGCCTGAGGTGTTGGGAGGAAGCTGAGTGCACTTAGGGAAGCAGGCAATAGGAGACTGCTCAGATACTCCACAAGATATTCCAGGGTTACTGAAAGCCCAGCTATCCTGCACTGACCTGGGATTCTTTGGAAGGAAGGATGTCCCACTCACCAGGTTAACCAGGGGGCCTCCAGAGTTTCCGAACTGCAGCACAAGAAGAAAACATGGGAAAGATCTGGGGACCGAACCAAGAGGTAGGCACTGTATCCAAAATTCTCTCTCTTCCCAACCCATTCATGAGCATGGTCATATTTTTGCTGCCCAACCTCTACCACTTATCAGTTGGTACCTGTAACACCCAGTTCCCCCCTTCCCCACCCAGCTCGTCCTTTCCCTCCTAGCAGACGCACATCTATAGCTGCATCTGTCTGAATGTACTCCACGTTGGTTTGAGGCAGTCCCAGGTCTCTGGCTGGGCGCTGAGCAGAGCTGACAATACCAGATGTGATGGTGTTCTGCAACGCAAAGGGACTCCCCATGGCAACAACAAACTCCCCTTGCCGGACATCTGCTGAGCGTCCCAGAGGCAGCGTAGGGAGAGGCTCCTGGGGAGAATGGGGATGAGAGACGCGTCATCCAGTGACCCAGGCGCAGAAACACACAACTCCAAACACAGCCGGCCTATCCTTAACCCCACCTTGGTCGGTATCCTCAGCGTGGCGATGTCAGCCACAGGATCCACAGCTGTGACCATGGCTTCATAAGTGTCACCGCTGGGCAGCCTCACCCGGACTCGACGGCGATCGGCCACCACGTGGGCATTTGTAACGATGAGCCCATCGGACGCCACCACGAAGCCTGAGCCGTTTGAGATAGGGACTTCCCGGCCTGAGAAAGGGTGCCTAGGATTGCCAGGGAAGCAGGGACGGGGCTGGGTAAGAGGAGGCTCTGACCCCTCCTGCTCGCCCGCCCCTAGGCCTGTGGCTTTCCGTGGCCCCTCCGGTCTACCCCATCTTTACCGGTCCAAGATCTCGATATAGACCACAGCAGGTGCCGTCTTCTCTACCACGTCAGCGATGAAGTTGTACTGGCTCCGGGGAGAGGTGGGCGGCGGAGCAGGGACGGAGGCGAAGACAGCAGGGAGATCCCGACCCCTGCCCCACAACACCACCAGCAGCGCCCCGCCAGCGCCCAGCGCCACCGCCAGCCACGCGCGTGCACGGGTTCCACGAGACCCTGAGGCTTCCCGGGGCCTGGAATCCGGGGTCCCTGCAGTCAGTCGCGGCTGGGGATCCGAGGACACAGACGTCAGACACGCCCGGGTTTCAGAAACCCCCACGGCCAACCGGGTCCGAAGACTGGGGGTCCCATAAGTCACCCGGGCCCGGGGGTCAGGGGTTCCTGACGTCAGCAGGGCCCGCAGGTCAGAGGTCAACAGGGGTCCCTTGCCCCAGCGAATGCCCCCCAGAGCCCTCAATCCCCAGAGGCTCCAGCCTGCACCCCGCCCCGCCCTCAGCGCAGCCATCCGCTCCGCCTCGGAGGCCTCCTCGCCCGCCCTTCTCAGAGGCGGTGCCCAGGACGTGAGTCGGCGGACAGCGGGACGTGGAGCACGCCGGTACCTGAAGTCCTCCACAAGTGCACGCCGGGACTCAGATTCCGGAAAGCCGACCCCGCTAGGTCCCGGGGGATGCCGGGAAGTGTAGTCCCAAAGGCCGCGGGGCATGCCGGGACAGCTAGCCCTTCCGGGGCACCTCCGGACTTCGGGTGCCCGCACCTTGGGCGGATGCCCAGAGACTCCGCCTTCCCAGGAGCCCCTGCGGCCGGGCGCGAAGATGGCGGTGGCGGCTGGGCATTCCTGAAGCAGCTGCTATGGAGCCTCCCCCGGCCCCGGGGCCGGAGCGGCTCTTTGATTCGCAGCGGTAAGAGCACCCGCGGGCAGAAGGCAGCCCCCGCGTCCTCTGGCCCTTCGGCCCGCGATCAGCTCGCCTCTCGCCCGCAGGCTCCCAGGTGACGGCTTCCTGCTCCTCGCGCTGCTGCTTTACGCGCCTATCGGGTTGTGCCTCCTGGTCCTGCGCATCTTCCTCGGGATCCACGTCTTCCTGGTCAGCTGCGCGCTGCCAGACAGCGTCCTTCGCAGGTTCCAAGTCGGGGGTCCCTAGAGCTGGCGGGGCGGGGCCCGGCCCGAGGCTGCACCGTCACTCCCGCCCGTGCCCACAGGTTCGTGGTGCGGACCATGTGTGCGGTGCTGGGACTCGTGGCCCGCCAGGACGACCCTGGACTCCGGGATCACCGCGTCAGGGTTCTCATTTCTAATCACGTGACGCCTTTCGACCACAACATAGTCAACCTGCTCACCTCCTGCAGCACCGTGAGTGCTCAAGGCTCACCCACCCCCGTGGAGCTCATTTCCCCTGGGGTGACACAGAGCTTCACCCTTGACCCCTTACCCTGCTCCTCTACCCTCTGCCAGGTATTTTTTTTTCTCACTTCCTTCCCTCCATCGTTTTCTTTTTGCCCTGTCTCGTCCCTATTCCCCAGCCTCTACTCAATAGCCCCCCCAGCTTTGTGTGCTGGTCTCGGGGCTTCATGGAGATGGACAGGCAGAGTGAATTGGTGGAGTCCCTCAAGAGATTCTGTGCGTCCACGAGGCTTCCTCCCACGCCGCTACTGCTGTTCCCCGAGGAAGAGGCCACCAACGGCCGTGAGGGGCTTCTGCGCTTCAGGTGGGTGAGCACCGATGAGGGGCTTGAGGGGGACAAGCTTGAGGGTCTTCGGGTTTTCCCAACCTTGCTTGGGCTCTACACACTGCATCCCCAGTTCATACCCTCCCTTGTTTCTTCCCCCTGAGTCGCATGTCTCTCCTATTTGCTTGTACAATTTGACAGTTTTCTCTTAAATCACCTGCAAGTTACTGGTTGGGGTGACTGGGTTTCTGTCTGCCCCTCTCCTTTTCTAGCTCATGGCCATTTTCCATTCAGGATGTGGTGCAACCTCTTACCCTGCAAGTTCAGAGACCCCTGGTCTCTGTGGTGAGTATGTGCTGGACAGGGCAGCTTCCAGTCTTGGAGGGGACTTGTCCCTACACCCAGAACTGCTTGGGCCTCACTTCACGCCCTCTCCTCAGACGGTGTCGGATGCCTCCTGGGTCTCAGAGCTGCTGTGGGCACTTTTCGTCCCTTTCACGGTGTATCAAGTAAGGTATTAACTGTCTCCACTTTCTGGTGGCTGAGGGGAGGCTCACCTCCAGGTCCAAGAAGCAGTAGCCTCTGCCTCATATACACGTAGATTTTTAATGTCAAGGTCTCACCACAGAGTATTTACCTTTCCCTGTCCTTGTCACTGCTGTTCTATGCAAAGAGGAACCCAGTGGGGGGAAGGGGTGACAGCCTCCACCTGGGTGTCCCCTCATGGCCTTGAATTGTTTTTTTCCAGGTGGCTTCGTCCTGTTCACCGCCAGCTGGGAGAAGGAAATGAGGAGTTTGCACTTCGTGTACAGCAGGTGGTCAGCGCCCCAGGCAGGGTGGAGGTGGTGTCTCTCCTTAGAGAGAAGGGGAAAAAGGCCTCAGACCTTAATGCTGCCAATTCTCTCTAGCTGGTGGCCAAGGAATTGGGCCAGATAGGGACACGGCTCACTCCAGCAGACAAAGCAGAGCACATGAAGCGACAAAGACACCCCAGATTGCGCCCCCAGTCAGGTGTGTAGTCCCTGTACACAAAGGTTTTGGGTTGTTTTTTTGTTTTTGTTTTTCTTTTTCTTTTTTCCTGCCTGTTTCCCTATTCCTGTGCTGCTCATCTTCACCATCCGTTTTCTCCACTTATTATACCTTTTTTGTTTTACAGCCCAATCTTTCCCACCTTCGCCTGGCCCTTCTGCTGATGCACAGCTGGCAACTCTGGCCCAGAGAGTCAAAGAAGTTTTACCCCATGTGCCACTGGGCGTCATTCAGAGAGACCTGGGTATGGGACAGGGTATTGTCACACAAAGGGAGGGGAACGGGAAGAAAAGATGGGAAAGAAAAAGGTGAGCTGGAGGATAGATCCCCTTCTCTTTTCCCCCTTCCCAGCCAGGACTGGCTGTGTAGACTTGACCATCACTAACCTGCTGGAGGGGGCCGTAGCTTTCATGCCTGAAGACACCGCTGAGGGACCTCAGTCCCTGGCCACAGCTGCTGCCCCCAAGGTGAGAGACTCAGGAAATGGCCAGCCCCAGGGAGGGGAGTAGGTTGGAGTAGCTGCATATTCCCTGTCCATGACCTCTCTTTCTGATCCCGAGACCCTAGCCCAGTGCCTCTTGCAAAGTAGACATTCGATGCGTGTTTAGTGATGATGACTTCGCAGGCCCTCTGACATTGTGATCACCTCAGTCCCCCAGCTCAGGCCCTGTGACCCCTCAGCCCACAGCCCTAACATTTGCCAAGTCTTCCTGGGCCCGGCAGGAGAGCCTGCAGGAACGCAAGCAGGCACTGTATGAATACGCAAGAAGGTGAGGCGGTTTGAGAACTTTGTGTGGAGAAGGGTACTGTGGCCCTAATATGAAAAACCTACACAATGTCTCTCCCTATGCCCCACAGGAGATACAGAGAGAGACAGGCCCAGGAGGCTGACTGAGCTCAGCAACAGGATGGCACCCAGAGCCGCGGGACGGAGCCTGGGGGCAGCCCCCACCCAACTCACACCAAGCTGGCCGGGTGGGCGGATGACAGGGAGGGGTGGGCTCCCCCAATCTCACATTAAATTCAGGGTTTTCACTCAAGGTCTCTGGCGTCTCTGGGTCTCAAAAGCCCTGTGAGCAATTTGCTCTTCCCCTGGTTGAGAACAGGAGTGAGAATCTTGTAGTTTTGTGGCAAATCATCGAAATGGTTAAAACTGTCTGAAATTAATTCCTCATGCCAAGAGATTCGTGGTGTTAAAGGAATACAACTGAACCAAAGACCTGTCAGCAACTGGATCTCAGCTTTGGTGTTCACTTCAAGTTTGTGATGCTGCTGTTGTGAAACTACAGATCCCAGAATGCCTTTCAAAAGCACAATACAGACTTATACCATTTCACACATGCTCAGTGTGGTGGCTGGCTCAGTGGGTTCCTGACTGGGCAAGTGGCCCCACCCCCTAAGCAAAGTTTAAACATTCAGAGCGTTCAGCCTAGCCCTAAGGCAGAGCCGGAATTTACCTTTGTACCTCACGAGGTCAGGGTTGGAAGTTGCCCGGCTGGGTGTGTCTGGAAGTGGCTGCCATCCTGACACGTCTCAGAGCTGCAAGCAGGTTGGAATCCAAAATTTCTGTGGCCCTACTGTCCCTCCCACTCCCTCTGCTATCTCTTTTTTTTCTCCTTCTCCCCATGGGACCTTCCCACAGACTATTGGGTCTCCCTTAGTTCTTGCTGCTCCTAAGGATCTGTGCTAGGCAGAGGATTTCTACCACCCAGCTGTCGAGGTATTGGGGTTGAGGGGATGCCACTTTCAGTGGCTCAGCACTGAATCCTAGCCAACAAGAAATGCTGGAGAGGCCGGACCCCAGGGCATCTTCTGAGGCTAGAGGTTAGGTATCAGATCTGAAGCAGGAAGGTGATACCAGGGGTCACCAGGTAGGAGGTCTTACTGGCTACCCTGACTCCTGTAGGTCCTGCCAGCGGCTGCCATGGCATCTCAGCCTCTCGGGCTGGCAGAAGATTCTGGTCTGAATGCTGGGGACTCGGAACTGGCTGTGAATCCCTTTGATGGGCTCCCCTTCTCTTCCCACTACTACGAGCTCCTTGAGCAGCGCCGAGCATTGCCCATCTGGGCTGCGCGTTTCCAATTCTTAGAGCAGTTGGAGAGCAGCCCCACTGGAGTGGTGCTGGTGTGTGGGGAGCCCGGCTCAGGCAAGAGCACTCAGGTGGGCAGGGATGCTGCACTACCCTGGGGCAAGGGGGCAGTGGACAAAGGGTTAGGCTGATTCCAGAGGGTCTGGTGAAAGGCCTGGGGACTCCATAAAGAAGGAAAAAGTAGACTGGCCATTGTGCGCTCAGCACTTGGGGCTGAAGTCCCACATTGCCCTGATTGGTTGTCCTTCCTCCGCCTCCCCCCAGGTCCCTCAGTGGTGTGCAGAGTTTGCACTGGCCAGGGGATTCCAGCAGGGTCAGGTCACCGTCTCCCAGCCTTACCCTCTGGCAGCTCTGAGTTTGGCTGTGCGGGTTGCTGATGAGATGGACCTGACCTTGGGACACGAGGTTGGATACAGCATCCCCCAGGAGGACTGCACAGGGCCGGATACCCTGCTCAGGTGGGGTTCTCTACAGGCCTGACCCAAATCCAGATCCCCTCACCCAAGCAAATGAGCCCAGGCCTCTGGCATCCCACTATACCCTCCCTCAGCCCAGCTCACCTTTAAGTTATGTACAGTGGAACTGCTGCATTAAGCCCTTGAGCTAGAGCCAGCAGCAGCAGATTTGTAGGCCCACCCTCATGAGAATTGTGTTCCCCAGCTGGAGTACAGCATGTGAACACAGGGATAGGGAGTCCTGGATAGGGTCCAAAGACTCGGAATTCAGCCACAGAATCTTTCCCTGACTTTCAGTCATCTAAGTCCTTTGAGAAGTTCCCCTGGACTTCTCAGACTAGTCTGCCCACACCAACTTCTCTGTACATTACCAATGTCAACAGGTTCTGCTGGGACAGGCTGCTTCTGCAGGAGGTGGCCTCCACCCGGGGTCCCGGAGCCTGGGGCGTGCTGGTGCTGGATGAGGCTCAGGAGCGGTCCGTGGCTTCAGATTGCCTGCAGGGGCTCCTGCGAGAGGCCAGGCTGGGAAACCTTCCTGGGGACCCCAGGGTGGTTGTGATTACTGACCCAGCTCTTGAACCGAAGCTTCAAGCCTTTTGGGGCAATCCTCCTACTGTGCACATACCCAGAGACCCTGGCAGGAGTCCTGCCCCTGTCTTCAGGGACACTGTTCCTCCTGATCTGGTGGAAGCTGCCTGCCAAGCTGTGCTTGAGCTGTGTCAGAAGGAGGCCCCGGGAGACGTGTTAGTGTACCTGCCTGGTGAGGAGGTAAAGGAATGAATTGCATACTGCCTTCCTGTTATGGGGAGCGGGGACACCTGTTAGGAACAGTAGAGCAGTGTTGACTTTGTGTTGAGGTGGGATGTCAAGAATGTAGGGTAAACAGGTCTACCACCCACTTTCTGACTCCCTGTGATCCAAGTATTTGCAATTCAATGAACCCCTGAAGTTGTAACACCCCAAGTTTATGTGCATCTTTTTAGAGTGAGGGATCATAGCTTCCATCAGTTTTTTCATCAGGGGTCTATGACCCCAAAAAGGTGACCACTGCCCTTCTGTTCTCCCCCATCTCAGGAAATAACCCTGTGCTGTGATGTCTTGTCCAAGGAGGTGGGGTCCTTGGCTCTCCCAGGGCCTCCACCACAGGTGCTGCCCCTTCACCCAGGCTGTGGTCGAGCCATCCAGGCCGTTTATGAGGACATGGGCACAGGTGGTGCCCGAAAGGTCATAGTCACTCACTGGCTGGCTGACTTCTCTTTCTCCCTCCCTTCCATCCGACACGTTATTGACTCAGGCCTGGAGCTTCGAAGTGTGAGTGAGAAAGAGATGAGGGGGAGTGGGGCTGAAGAGAGAAATGGCCCACTCTGATCTGTCTTGGACTTGGTTGGGGGGGCGGCGGTGGGCAACAGGTTTACAATCCTCGGATCCGAGCTGAATCCCAAGTATTGAGGCCGATCAGCAAGTGCCAGGCTGAGGCCAGACAAGCGCGGGCAAAAGGGGTCGCACCAGGTAAGAGCCTTTGCCCTTGCCGAGACCAAGCCCCACAAGCATCACGGGGGCAGCCCAAGAAGTCCACAGCAGCCTCCCTCCCAGGTCTTCCTCCCTCAGGATCCTGTCTCCGCCTGTATCCCAAGTCCTTCCTAGAGCTAGAGGCTCCGGCACTGCCCCGCCCCCGGCTTGGGGAGGAAAATCTGAGCCCCCTGGTGCTGCTGCTGAAGAGGAGAGAGATTGCAGAGCCTGGAGAGTGGCACTTCTTGGACCGGCCTGGTGAGCGGCTGGCAGGCCTGGGCTGAGGGTGAGTACTCAGCTTTCGGGCCTCCCGCCCTCAAATCCCTGTCTCTTCACCAGCTCCAGAAGCACTGATGCAGGCCTTGGAAGACTTGGACTACCTCGCAGCCCTGGACGATGACGGGGACCTGTCCGACCTGGGCATCGTCCTCTCCGAGTTCCCCCTTCCCCCCGAGCTAGCCAAAGTCCTGCTGGCCTCATGCGAGTTTGACTGTGTGGATGAGGTGCTCACCCTCGCTGCCATGCTCACGGGTACACATCTCCGTCATAAAGTTAGCGCCGTGGCCAGTTTGCTCCCCTGGATAACCAGGTTTTAATCATCTATCCCTCTCTTTAGTCTTTCCTTCTGATGTTTCTTCCCCCTCAATATGCCTGAAGCTCTTCCAGCTGAATACTGAAAGTTCAGGGTGCCTCTTCAGAAAGAAACCCTTCCACCTCCTCCAGCTACATAGAATGACCTGGGGCTCCCCTTCTATCTAGTGCAGTGGTACCTCACTGCATCCCAGACTCAGGCCCTCAAATCACTGACCCATCTGTCAGCTCTCCGATGACCACCTGCTACCTAATCTAATGTCCTCTTCTGCCCTGACTCTGTACATCTGAGTACTGATTGCTCCCTCCTTGGGGCTGTCTCCTCCCCAGGCCTCTATGATGCCAGCCCCCATGGTTTTCATTCTACCCCTAGCTGTTCCCTTCATCTCTTCCTTGGGCGCTTCGTCTTCCACTTGCCCATTTTTAACTGAGTCTTCAGTGTTCTAGCCTCGATCCTTTGTCTTCTCATTCTCTTGAACTCTCTGAAGTTGATTCACACCTACAATTTAAAGTGCCACTTTTATGCTTAAAATTTACAAACCTGTGCTTTGTAAGTCATCTGTATGTCCTTCTCCTAAAATGGAGGGGTAGGGAGAGGGAGAGAGAAGAGAGCTCTCCAACTTCTCAGTAATTCTACCAGAAGAGTTCACACCATCCCAATAGAGAGCCCTCTATTAAACTACCCATTACCACAATTACAAAATCCTTTCCTGTTTCTATTCTCAGTGTCACATAATACTGTCATCTCTGTCAGGCTACTACCATCATTCCAGACTAATCTTTCTCCAGTTTTTTAATCTTTTTATCTTTTACATGTGTTTAAAAATCCATTTAGGATCAGGCATCATGGTATAGCATGTTAAGCCACCACCTGCATGCCAGTTCAAGTTCTGGCTGCTCTACTTCTAATCCGGCTCCCTGCTAATGGCCTGGGAAAAGCAGCAGAAAATGGCCCAAGTGTTGGGGCCCTTGTCACCCATGTGGAAGACATGCAAGAACCTCCTTGGCTCCTGGTTTCAACCTGGTCCAGCCCCAGCCATTGCAGCCATTAGGTGTAAACTAATGATGGAAGACCCCTCTTTCTCTCCTCTTTCTGTGTAATTCTGACTTTCAAATACATTATTTTTTAAAATTAATTTGCCCTCCTCTATGTATTGCCAGTGCCAACTGCAAGTCCTCCTCATTGCTCCATTATATTCCTTCATTAACTTCCTGATCAGTCACATGAACATTCCCACATTCACAGACTCTCTTGCTTAAAAACCCTTAATAACTATTCTTTAAGACAGGTCATAAACTCCATTATATTACACATCAAGGCTCTTATTACTTACCCTAGACCATCCTCTCCAGCTTTCTCTCCTACCATTCTGCCATTTATCATTGCCTCCATCCATATCAGGTGATTGGCCATTCCCCAACCATGCCATGTCATCAGTTTTTGTACCATGCTGTTCACATGGTATAAAATTCTCCCAGGGCCAGCACCATGGCTCAGCAGGCTAATCTTCCACTTTTATTTTTTAAAAAAACATTTATTTATTTTTATTACAAAGTCAGATATATAGAGAAGAGGAGAGGCAGAGAGGAAGATCTTCCGTCCGATGATTCTCTCCCCAAGTGACCGCAATGGCCAGTACTGTGCCTATCCAGAGCCAGGAGCCAGGAGCTTCCTCCAGGTCTGTCACATGGGTGCAGGATCCCAAGGCATTGGGCCGTCCTCCACTGCTTTCCCAGGCCACAAGCAGGGAGCTGAATGGGAGAAATGGAGCTGCCAGGAGCCCATATGGGATCCCTGCGTGTTCAAGGCAAGGACTTTAGCCACTAGGCCATGCCACCGGGCCCTAATCTTCCACTTTTAAATAGCAACCTCCCATATGGGTGCCGGTTCATGTCTCAGGTTTTCCACTTCCCATCTAGCTCACTGCTTATGACCTGAAAAAGCAGTGGAAGATGGCCCAAGTCCTGGGGCCCCTGAACCCATGCAGGAGGCCGAAAGGAGGCTCCTGGCTCCTGGCTTCAGATTGGCTCAGTTCCAGCTGTTGTGGCTACTTGGAGAGTGAGCCAGCAAATAGATGATCTGCCTCTCCTCTCTGTATGTCTGCCTTTCCAATAAAAATAAACTTACTTTAGAATAATCTCCCTGCCCCTTCTCCACTCAGCTAATTTAAAGTTCAAAAATTGGCCCAAGAGTGCTCCTCTTCCTTTCTGCTACCGCACCATCATCCGTCTTCCCCACCACGCAAAGCCTGCATTTAGGGACCCTACTCGTTGTTCTAGCATTCTCCTTGCACATACATATCATGCTTATAAAACTGCTTTCTTATTCCTGACCACCAGACTCCACTCCCCAGAAGGGCAGAAACTGTCTTTCACTTACTGCTGTCCTTGATGTCTGAGGGAGATTGGTTATGGGCCACTCTACAGTACACCCTCAAATCTACAGTTTTATAACCCTTGCTTTCTTCATTTCTCAAAGAAAATAAAAAATTTTAAAAATAATGTAAACTTTACAAGAACTTTGAATCTTCCTCATAACACCTAGTACAATATAAATATTATATAAATAGTTGTCAAAACGTATTATTTAGGAGATAATCACAAGGGAAAAATTGTTCATATTTGGTATAGATGCAAATTTTTTCCAAATATTTTCAATGTGTATTGAATCCACAATTGTGGAACACACAGATACCTACTGAGGGCTGATTATATTTATCCTCAGTGTCTGATGAAGTGCACAGCACCTAAAAGTTACTATTTTTTGAATAAAGCTCCCAAAGAGATATTTCTACCTTTTCAACATTCCACCAATACTGTTACCCTTTCTCATTCCCCAAAACCGCCTCCCTGTCTCCTGCCCTCAGCTGCCCCAGGGTTTACCCGTCCTCCACTCTGTGCTGAAGAAGCTGCCCTGCGTCGGGCCCTGGAACATGCAGACGGTGACCACAGCTCTTTGATCCAAGTGTACGAAGCCTTTATACAAAGTGAGTGGCCCACTCTGCATTCTCATAAGGAGTTCCAGATCTTCCCAGGGGAAGTGGCATGCCAATTGGCTGACAGCTCTTTGGTCAAGGGTTGGGCACTTCCGGGAGTCTCAAGGGCCATGGTTGTAGCAGTTCCCTTTCCTCTCCTAGGTGGAGCAGATGAGGCTTGGTGCCAGGCTCGGGGTCTTAGCTGGGCAGCATTATGCCAAGCTCGTAAACTTCGAGAAGAGCTCCTAGAACTCATGCAGCGAATTGAACTTCCCTTGTCCCCACCAGCCTTTGGCTCTGAGCAGAATCGCAGAAATCTACAGAAAGCGCTGCTGTCAGGATACTTCCTTCAGGTGATAAAAGAAAAGGCAAAGGGAACAAATATTAGTGTGGCACCTTTGAAGCTGGGGTCATGATACCATTGAGGGGGTTAGCACTGTGGTAATGAGGATTAAGCCACCACTTGTAGCACCCATGGCATCCCAGAGCAGAGTGCTGACAGAAGTCCCAGCTGCTCTGTTTCTGATCCAGCTCCCTGTTAATTCACCTGAGAAAGTAGCAGAAAATGACCCTAGTACTTGGGCTTCTACTACCCATGTGGGAGACCCTGATGGAGTTCCTGGCTCCTGAGACTGGCTCAGACCTGGCTGTTGTGGCTATATGAGAAGTGAACCAGTGGATGGAAAATCTCTCTTTCAACAAATAAATTGATATTTTGGTAAGACAGAAGGGGCTATTCCTTGGAGGTTTTCAGGCATAAAGGCCTATGGAAAAATACTATATGCAATAATAGGGACCAGACAACACCTAGAGGTAATGCTTTGCGTTTAAAATTTGTGCCATCCTTGCTAATTTTTTAAAAATGTATTTGTTTAACTGTGTGTCTCTTCCCTTTTACTTATTCCCATGCTGTCTTTGCCTGTCGATAAGGTGGCCCGAGACACAGATGGGACTGGAAATTACCTCCTACTAACACACAAGCACGTGGCCCAGCTCTCCTCAAGCTGCTGCTACCGAAACCGCAGGCCTCCTGCCAGGCCCCCATCCTGGGTGCTGTACCACAGTTTCTCCATATCCAGAGACAACTGCCTCTCCATTGTTTCTGAGATCCAACCACAGACGTGAGCCTCTGATACGCTGCTATGCTATCCATCCCTCTCCCTGGGCCAGAAGCTTGGCTGGGGAAGTGGAGAGAGCCTTGAGGAGGGAGGTGTCTGAGTGGGGTGTAGTAACACGGGGAGAAGAACAGAGCGAGAGGTTGAAAAATCTGCCTCGTAAGGAAGCTACGAATCATCTCATTCTGACTCTCTCTGCCAGGCTGCTGGAGTTGGCCCCTCCATACTTCCTGAGTAACCTGCCTGCAGGTGAGAGTAGAGACCTCCTGAACCAGCTGAGAGCAGAAATGGCACAATCTGCAGCAGGAAGTGACTCCTCCTCGCCCCGGGAGTTCAGGGAAGCCTGCGTCCTGCAGTGATCTCTCTGCATTAGATCTCCATCCCCCAGCCTAACCATGAGCCTGAGCACCAACACACGGAGGGACTGGACGCCGCCACTGCCTGGCACAGGAGGACCCTGACCTGCTCCCCTCCCCTCCCCATCTTAACATGGACCCATATTTGTATTCCCTTTGGGCCCATAAAAATATTTTTTCTGTGATGACAAAATCTAAGTGTCATTTTGCAACTCCATAAACCTCTACAACATCCTGCAATCAAAAATGATTCCGTGTCAGGTCAGTTCCACATGCCTGTCGAGGGTTTCCTGCTGTGGCTAACATCACTCTAGCAAAGAATAGCCTTGGCTTTCCAGCGAATGGGTCCCCAGCCCCTCCCCCCCTTCCCTCTGCCACAGTGCTCTTACATTGGAAACCGGTGGGATTATACAGAATCCTCCGTTTCTTCCACACGCACCTTAAATGCTACTCCTTTTCATTTCAAACATGAAGACTTTGGCAACAATCAACATTGAATCACCAGAAGCACGGCCCACCTACAAACCAGAGCCCTTGCTACCCTGGCTGGGAACACCCTCCCCCTCTGCGCGCTCTTGATCTCCTCCATCATCTGACACTGGAAATGCTTGTATAATTTAACACAAATAATGGCTTGGTCCTTGGAACTCTGCACAGAACTGCCACCCTTGGAGATTGTTAGCCTTCCATCCATCTCTGTCACTGCGGGGACGGGAACCCCTCTCCCCGAGGCATGACTCCCGAATTTATTCTCTCCAGGACCAGCACTTAGTTTGACCTAGTCTTTCTCCTACCTTCTCCATTTCCCCTCCACCATCCACAGCTCCCCTGATCCTCCAACATTTTCAATCTGATTCCTCTCGGGCTTGCCACTTTACAATTATGGGCCAAAATTGTACTTCCCCCACCCCTAACTCCGCGGGGGCCGTAAACTTTGCCCACTATTTCCCAGCTCTCCCCTCTCTGCTTTCTGGGGGTTGACAGAACCAGATTTTCCTTCTGTGTACAGGGACCGCCTCACCTCCTGCCCACGCTCATTATAAAACTCAAGTGGCAAGACGTGACCCTCGAGCTGGACACACACGACAACAGGGGACTCGAGGTCAAGAAGAAATCCTTAGCACTTATTTTTACAGTTGAGGGATGAAACGCCCAGTGCGGACAGCCCTCGGCTTCAGGCTCGTGGCAGAAGCTGCCAGCGCTCCGGCACCTCCTGCTTTGACTCCGCTGGCGTCGCCTGTGCTGCGGTGTGGACCCAGTGGGCGCCCGCCCAGCCCGGCCCTCGGAGCCGCTTGCCTCGCCGCTCTCGCCCGCGGCCAACTCCACCTCACGGCCCCTCGCCGGCTCCGCCGGAGTCCCTCCGGAGAGCAGCTCCCATTGGCCAGCCCTTCCCTTTCCCCACACCTCATTGGCTACGGTCCTGCAGGTCCCGCCTTCTCGAGCCTCCGGTTCCCGCCGTGGAGTTAACAGCAGTTGTGAAAAATGGCGGGAAAGGCCGTGTCTGAGCTCGGCCCGCACCCACGCTCCGCAGGCCAGGAACCTGCCAGTGGCGAAGGCGGCCTCGACGATTGCCTCACTGCCCGTGCTCCTCACGTGCCCGGCTGCCGCGGGGCCGTGGGCGCGGCGACCGCGCGTTCCACAGCCCTGGGCCCGGTGTCTGCGCGTGGCGCCTCGGTCCGGAAAGAGCGCTCGGCCAAGGAGGCAGGTGTGGTTCACACGACAGAGGCGAGCCCGGACACGGAAGCCACTTTGTTGTCCTCGGCCCAGGGCTGCAGGTTCTGCAGGGCGAAGAGCGACGAGTTGTGCAGGCAGAGCGGGTCCGGGGGCAGCGGTGGCCGCAGCGGCCGCGGGAGCGCGTCCTGTTGCAGGTGCAGCAGCAGGCGGCCGGCGCGGTGCCGCTCGGCCTCGCGCTCCTCCGCCGTCTGGCGCCTGGGCAGGTGGGAGACCAGGGGTCAGCCAGGCTGGCCTCGCCCACCCCGCGCCCCAGCCCGCCCTCGCCCCGGCGCTCTGCCTCACCGCCACTTGGTACGTCGGTTCTGGAACCACGTCTTGACCTGAGCGTCGGTCATGCGCAAGGCCTTGGCCAGTGCGGCCCTCTCGGCGGAGGCCAGGTATTTCTGGCGCAGAAAGCGCCTTTCCAGCTCCAGCACTTGCGAGCGGGAGAAGGATGTGCGCGGCTTCTTCCGCTTTGGGGGAGTCCGGTTTTGGTAGGGGTGGCCTATGCGGCGTGTCCCCGAGAAGGGCGAGAGCGCAGCTACCGGGAGAAAGAAAGAGTAGGACAGGGTTAGCAGGGTGACAGAGGTGTGACCGAGAGGAGAGCGAGTAGCCGGTCCTTACCAGGATCCCGGTTCCACGGTGCATCAGCAGAGAGGCCTCTGGACCTGAAGGAACCTCGGAAGTAACGGCCCTCCCCTTGGGAGAGGGAGCGATGTCTCCCCGCAGCCTCACCCACCCTCCGCGCCAGGCAGGCTGCGGAATTGTACGGCTCCCGGCCCTTGCAGGCTGCGGAACTGTACGGCTCTTCCGCAGACCTGGAGATCCGCGCTGGGGAGGATCCGCATGAGCGCTCTGGGGGAGCCCTGACTGGTTCCCTGAGCGGGGACAAATACACGAGACACGCAATGAGAGTACAACCTAGCTCTCCAGGGGTCGGGCAAACTCACCTGTGAGCCGGTCCTTAGCGAAGCGGCGACCGCTGTCCATCCAGGGGAAAGTGAGTCCCGTTAAGCCGCCGGCGCCGCCCAAACCCGAGGGCCCGGGCACCGCAGGCGCGCCTCCCGCGGGCGGCGGCACGGGCAGCGGGCGGTGAGCCGGGACGCGGATCACGCCGCCCGGGCCCACTCCGGAGCTGCTGGGCAGCGGGGCCAACGAGCCCGCGGGACTGTAGCCTGCGGTTCCGTGGAATCCAGCCGAGAAGCCTGCGCTCTCTCCATGGCTCTGGCTTGCCCGACCCGAACCCAGGCCGCCTCCGGGGGGTTCTGGGCCGCCCAGGATCTGATCGATGCCGAAGCTGATTGGCTCGTGGTGCGGGAGGTTGTGCGGAGCCAGCACCGCCGGCTCCATGGGTCTTGCTTTGCCTGGGAAGACTGCGGGAGGTGTGTTTGGGGAGGGTGCCTCGGGCAGCTGCGGGAGCCCAGCGGCGGTGCGCTCCAGGCGGCGGCTTCAGGGGCCCTCGGGGTTGGCCACCGCTGGGCGCCGGGGTACCCAGAACAGCTGCATCCCTGTGCACCGGGAGCAACAGCGCCGGTGCCCGCCGATGCCGGGCGTCCACTCAGCGAATCGCATCCCGGGGGAGCGCCACCGGCGGGGCCCCAGGAGCTCCTTTGCTGCGCTGAAGCGCGGATGGACGCTGGGCTGCCGGGCCGCTGTCCAAGTCCCGGGTGGAGAGGGTTGGCCAGCTTCGGTAGGGGCAGTGACTGACAGATCACCCCGGGTGGGTCGTGGGGGCTGGAGGTTGGGCAGGGGCGGGGCCCGGCCGTTAAAGGGGAAGGGACGCCTGTTTGCGCCAAGCGCGGGGGAAGACTGGCCGGCCGAGAAGTGCTGGGAGCACGGGGTGGGGATGGAGGGCGAGGGTGTAAGTGACCCAGCTCGGCGCGGGAGGGGTCAGAGCACGGGCCGCTGAGTCAGCCAAGATGCTACCCGCGCCTGCATCCTCGCCGGCTCCGCCTTTGGGCTCCCTCTGCCTCACCGACTTCCTCACCGGCAGGTGCCTCCTTCCTCAGCCCCCATTCTTCGCCTCCCGAAGGGTGTTGCTTGCCAACTCTGGGATTCGTTGTGGCTCCCGCCTAAGGGCCCCATAAGACCAGATCTCGTTGTGGCTTCCTGGCTGCATAAGAAGCGACTGGGAACGAGAAATCGCGATCTGGAGGCCCAAGGAAAAAGCGCAGGTGTGGGAAGGGCTGACAGGATGCGTTCGGCGGGCTAGGGAGGGGATCTGCAAGCCGGGCTCACGGTCCTGGTGCATCGCGGGCCTCTTTCGTAAAGGCCCCTGCCCGGAACGGGCACGCTTGTAATTGATGCCCTGTTTCTTAGATTTTTTTCGATGTTTTGGAAGCAAGAAAACTGATGGCTCAGATGGAATCAACTGGAGCTGAAAGATCCGGGGCAGGGCGGCCTGTCCACCAACTTTGAAGTGCGGAGGGAAGGGGGCGCCAAACGTGTGGCCTTAGCCCCTCCATGCTGCGTGTTGTTTCACATTCTCTCTCTTCTGAAAAGCCAGAGGGCAAAATCGTCACAGGCGACTCGTGCGACCTTACTGACGCCTAGAAGGGATCCAGGCCGCCTTGTTTCCTACAGAGGTTTCACCCCACCCAAGCCCCAGAAAGTGCGCCTGGAGCGTGCCAGAGAAGGGAGATGGGGGTGGAGGGGGGAGGCCCCAAGCTACACAGTGACCTCGTGACCCTTGGCTGCGGACCCTGGAGTCGTCAGTGTGTGAACTCTGCATCCTTCCCCGGGATGGGACCCCTGCGGGCGGGCCCCGGAGCCTTAGACCCGCCCCCGCCGCCGCCCTGCCCGGTGCAGGCCGCCATAATCGGGTTAGCTGGGCCGGAATTACATTACCTTCCCCAGCCCGCCCTGGCCCTAGGGGGGGCCCTGGCGCCTCGGAGCCGGTGAGGCTGGGCGCGGGGAGGGGGGCACTCCGACCATCCTTGGACGGGTGGGCACCACCGAAAAGCAGCTCAGCCCGCCTCAGACACGTGGGGGTCGAAGGACCCCGCCCAGCTGTGGGCTCCCTCGCCCCCCGGCCCTCGTGCCCACTCTGCCTTCTGCAGGACTCCCATTTTAGCCGAAATGCCTAAGACGGGAGCACGGGTCTCAGCACAGCACCACAGATCCTCCAGGAGCCCCTGGGAAGGGCTCTGCCCCTCCTTTCTCCCCAGCAGATGGGCTGGCAGCCTGGCGCCTGAGGCAGGGTGAGGGGGTCTTATTTCTCCTGGGAACGGGAATGGCACTGGGCATCTGGGCAGGAAGAGAGTGAAGCCAGCTCTGTCTTCACCCAAAGGCCTCAGCGCCCCTTCTCCCCGCCAGTGTTCTCAGAGACCTCAGTTTGAAGGGGCTAGCCATGTGAGGGGCGCAGTAGCATTCATCTGCAACAACCTCCCCCACCTGAGCCACTTCTGTCATCCGGTTTCTGTAGCTCCCATCAGTTCTGTTCCCAGCCCCTTCTAAAAGCACAGGGGT